GTATTGTAACACAATTGACATGTACAATGTAACTAATTAGGTTTCAAAATAAAAAATATATCTCTTGCTTTACATAATAGTTTCTTTTACAATACCTTCAAAAGACAATCGTGTCTTACAACTATTTGGGTGTGTAAATGAAGCTATAAAATAATAGAAAATGGTATGACAGGGGTCGAAATTTAAATTTTTTTGTACCATACAGCCGGAATAGTAGATTGTGAAATTTACTATTCCGTCTGAAGATCCACTATTCTTTAATTTACTGTTTCTGAGAGCCTGTTCATGCAGGGTCCGCGCTAATGTTCTGATTTTCGTGAAATCATCCGTGAGACTCCTAAACTAGTGAACTGAATAATTGAATAACAAAAAATAAACATGTACAGTGCATTGCTCTGTACAGTGATGAACAAATTATTAATAAAAAACAAAACATCTCACATTCAATGAATCATTCAGTAATTAACTATTAATCTGAATCATCTATTCATGTGCATTAATATACATCTTCTACGCCCGATACATACCGCCACATTTTGTATAATGTTTGAGTCCTAAAAACTAAACGCAAAAGTTGTTTTTGACGACAGGGCAGGCCGGTGGCAGTCTGTCTGACTGTCATGTTATTGTAGCAAAGTTAATTAAGTTAATATTGCTGCAAAGAAATTAGAATATGCAAGTACTGCAAGCAAACAAGAACTTAGCTACAAAGTGAAACAGTGGCTCAAAGTCCGGTATAAAGGGATTTTTATACAGGAGGAAAACCCTTGCTTGTCAATATTTGGTACCACAATGTTTTCTACTATACAAACGGAATACTGTGATCATAAAGTTTACTATTCCGTCAGGCATTTTACTATATTCAGAATAGCGGGAATTTCGACCCCTGTATGAACAAGCATGATGTCATGCTTGAATTAAACTATGGCCCTCCGGCACCAGCTTGAAAACAGGACAAGCATTCCTCATACCTTTTTTTCCAACACTTTTTGGTGAACCTCTTGGGGTCAAAATCATTCCATCATAATAGCGCCTATATGATAAAAACAGAACCAACAAAACATGCTGAATGATACTGATTTAATGAATTATTAATATTTGTGATATCAACATAAGTCAGTTCCAAAAGTATAATACTGTGACTTTGACAAAATGGGAAACTACAGTTTTAAAAATTGCTAATATATAATATTAGAATTCATAGAAAACTTTTAAATATTTACTTTTTTTGTTTTCCTTTGTAGCTTATAGTTTTGCCAAATAGTTTGGACACCTCTATAAGAAGTTCCCTGGTGCCAATCCCTTTCAGAGAGCCATATGTATATACAGGCGCTGTAACAACAGGTCAACACTTAGCAAATGACCTTCCTTTTTAACGATGTTAGCATGCAATATGTCTTTGAGAGTTCCTTGAAAATGAATGCGTGAAGGTCGAACTACAGAGAAATATATATATTTTTATAAGACAATGGCCAATGCAACTGTGCAAGCAAAACAAATATTTTAAAATATTTTCTACTGCTAATAATAAAACCTATTACTACTCGCCTTTTCGTTTAGTCCCTTTTGGTGTTGTGATCGTAGTTCTCAAGTCACTTTTCCCACTATAAACTGGGCGTTCAGCATGAAGAGATGATTCAAACCGATCAAACGTTGAAGTTGAGGCCTTTCTTGTCTCCGTAGCTTTCAGCGCATCCAAATCCTTCTTCAAACTCGACACCTGTGCCTGCTCTTTTTCAATCAGTTCCTTCTGCAATCTCACATGCCTTAAAACGCTTCTATAATTTTTACTCAAAACAGGAATCTTCGAATTCAACGGCTTGTATCGTTTATCCGCCATCTTGCCGTGACAACTCGCCTATCGCCACCCTACTAAGGACATCTATTTCTGCGCGAGAAGAGATGCGCAGACCGAAAAATATTCGTTCAGATATGGCAGGCAACTCCCCCTCTTTATCCCTCATGTGTTTCAAGAGTTGCCTGCGGAGGAGGCTAGCCATTATTATGCACTTGTATTATCTTTCTAGGATGGCATACGTCTGCAGTAAATGTACGAAGAGTTCTACCCAAATGAAGAACTTAACTCGACATATGAAAACAACTGTCTCGTACCCAGGCGCTTTGGTTTGTTTACGTCATTAAGCGCACGTGGGACGGCACGCGAGGGAGAAAAACGGAAAATTCGGCGAGAAGCGCCTGGTAAAATTCACATTCAAAATGGTGGGTCTGTGTTCTGCAAGTGTTCTGTATTATTTTTTTTATTATTCAAATGACATTGTTTACAGCAAAATACGGGTTCGTACATTGCCATTACTCTTTGGAGTAATCTTTGGAGTGCAATATTTAACTTGTTCATACTGTTTTTTATATTATTAACTATGCAGTCACTACAGTGTCATGATTTTGCTCTTTTGTTCAATATCACGCATTGTATTTATCGTATTCACCTCAAAATTTGTGGTTGAGATACAAAATTTGATTTATTTGCCAAGATTTGTCAAGTATAATTTAGAGCCATATGTTTCGAATATAGCCATATATAGGTTTTGTCATTTTCATTTTGACCTTGACTAGGCCAGCTAGGTGTTGTGCGGGATATATCGCTTTTTATTACTTGTCAATTCATGTTTTGTTTGCATATCACTGGTTATTTTGACCCTGGATATATTTCTGGTCATTTTAATCATTCTCATCATGTTTTAAATCCAGTATAATAAACGTAAACGACTGTACTACACTCTACAGGACGACACGAACATCTATTGTTGTGACTGTTTACAAATATGAACTGTTTGCCGCCGCAACTTCCCTTTCGTAAACGGTCGTTACCATCCAGAACTGGCGTTACCATCCCGAGTCTTATAGAATTCTGGGTAAGCAGAGCAAAATTCCTCGTTGTCCAGTGCTGTCCCGCATGTCACATTTATTGCTCACGTGAGTGGTTTTTAGCGGGAAAATATTTCTTTAAAACTATTAATAAAAGAGCGTCAACGATGGCAAATCCTTTAGAAAAACAATCAGTGAGGAAACCAACAGGATGGAATACTTTTTATCGACAAGTTGCGGTGAGTTGATATTGTTGATGCCATCTTGATTTGTCAGGACAACAATTGGTTTATAAACGATAGAGTATTCAAATTTAAAAATAGCGTTATAAAACATAATTTTCAGGGAAGTTCCGAAGTTCACAAGGTCATATAAATGAATACTCGTATATTTATTTAAATAGTTTTAATTTTGTTTCACTTTTCACAGCCTGGAATTATTCAAAAACGTGGGCCCGAGGCAAACATTGGCAAAGTGTCCACTGTAGGATCCAAAATGTGGAGGCAAATCGGTGAGAGAAGGAAGGTAAATATTCAATATTCATAGTATATTGTACTATATTTTTATTTACTATATACGTTTCGACTATATTTCAGTCATCATCAGGATAAACTTTATTGTACTCAGTGGCGTAGCCAGAACGATAATTGGGGGGGGGGGGCATATTCATATATTCGTGTCCACATACCATAAAAACAATTGATTTCAAAAGAAATTAATAAGGCAGAACACGAATATATGAATATGCCCCCCCCCCAATTATCGTTCTGGCTACGCCACTGATTGTACTATATTAGAAGTATATATTTATTTAAAGCATTATCCAGGTGCTCTCGTGTTCGTATTTTAGCCAATCAGCGCTCAGAAATGGTTGTCCGAATAGAAATCCATTTTGATGTATTCAGTCAATTATATCTTTCATTATTCTTTATGAAACTACTTGAAATTTTGTAATTATGTTTGGTTATGAGAACTATAGTTCTGACAAAAATATGGAATCGAAATAAAGTATATTACAGGAGATATTCAGTTGTTTTAATCATAAAATGGATTTCTATTTGACAACAAGTGCCAGTACTTTTCCGCGTATCAAGAATCAAGATCACCTGGATGCTGGGCCTTATTATTTTTTTATGATATGTTTCTCGCCTAGGCCGCCGCGTTCTTTGAGCCTCTTGAGCTGTATTCTCATGCCTTTCATCTTATTGCGATGAAATTTCTGTGACATATTCAATCCATAATTATAAAGCGACTGAAACAACGAAGGCTACATAGATTACTCCAAAACGAATTTACATTAGAACTGTTTGATAATATATACAGTGTTTTAATATACCCGACTATGTGTAGTTTAAATAAGCACGATATTAGCACAAGTTTACATTGAACAGTTATTATTTTGAAAGATTAATCAACGTCATACAGTTTTCAATGAAAAGTGGTTTTTCAAACCGCCAAAAATCCACTTGATCGAGTTCGCTGCAGAATCGATATCCGCACCAGGAATCGACACGGATTCTGCCAGGCGCCTCACCACGAAATCGATCAAATTAATCCACGCGGCCCACGCAAAGGCCGCGCAAGCCATAGAACAACACATAGCGCCTGAGTACGAGGCTATGAAAACAACGCATATGGGCAAGGCACTCAAGTGTCAGGAGTGCGATAAGTCGTTTACAAGAATGGAAATTATTGTTCATTGAAGGGGAAAAGGAAATCCATGTTTGGAGGGAAGTATATTATGAATATTAGTGCTTTTTCGCCGAAACAGTTCAGCCGAGTGTTGGTGATCATTCTTGCAATTCCCTCAACATCCCGGCCGAAATTGAAGATTTAAAATCCGGACAGCTCGTTAATGGGGAAGCGATCAAAGCATTGGTAGAGTCGGTTTCATATATAACTGGCGTAATATCGCATCTGCACGATTGTGGGGGCAAGAGCGGAAACCGTTTTCCTGAGTTAAAGCAGATGAATCAAGATAATTCAACCGACCATTATGTCGATAATGCTATTTAAACAGACATTTGTAGATCACCTGATGGTAATTTGAATAATACTTTTGTGCAGAATTCATGTGATGACAGTACGAACGCAAGTACCTCAACAAATGCCCAATTAGGAGCTGACGGAATCGCCTCTGATCAGGTCACGGTTATTGATCTTTGCTCAAGAGTATGCAGAACCACCCACAAGTGAACCTGTTAATGATGTTTCACTGGTGTTGTCTGGAGTTAATATACAGGGTGTCTAAAAAAAAACCAAAATCATTGAAATAACGTATTGTTCGAATTTCAATGCCGTAACACAAAGGATTTTGACAGGGTGATTAATTTGTTTTAAAAAATTAAAATATCTTTGTAAAGTGAACGTTTGTTTGCTCATGGGAATTTAAAAATGCTTCGTAAATTGTAATATGCGTAATATGCATTCGTGGGTTTAGTACTTTATGCCTGACATAACAAGTTTACGTTGAGTATTACCATTCATTATAGCAGTTATGTCAATCTTTTATGCACTCGTGGGATTAACTTAGTGCTAGGGCATTGAATATCGAACAATACGTCAATTTCAATGATTTTGGGTTTTTTTGAGACACCCTGTATAGTGTAAATGACCATGTCACGGTTAATGAACATGTAAAAGAACAATCGCTAATCATCAATGACGAATTCAAAGGTGTAAGTAGAAGTCGGAGCAGAACTAAACATTTATTTTTATCGGGAATTTCTGAGGATGTTCACAAGGAACAAATGTCTTATTGTCGTCTTGTCTTATTTAAAAAGTCGTAACGTAGAACAAGAAAATATCTCGATTTTTAATAGCCGTCAAAAGGGAGCTATTTCAGCGAAGGTTAGTGTACCCGCTTCAGCTGCCTCTTTGCTGGATAAGGAACATTGTTGACCCTAGTTTGTCCGGTGCATAATTAGCAATACGATACCTTACTTCCCATCTCCCCTGCGCGCATAAATTAAAAGCTGGTATTGCCTATTGTCCCGTGGGACATATCACAAAAACGTTTTCGCGTTTAACACTTTAACGTCATTGTGAAAAAGGTGTATTGGTCAGGGCATCGAAGTAAAAGATTCTAAATTTGTGATCTTTGTATCTCATTTCGGCCCATTTTTGTCCCCAAAGTCATTTTCACTCGGTCACCCGCGTTGAAAATTAGGCTCTGGGTTAGACGACTGAAGGGAGAGATCTGATTGGCTATTTCGCAGAAGTCGAGCAGTTTTTGGTAGGCAAAATTATCCTATCAACATGTCAACACAAATACTTTGTTTTTCCGTAATACTGCTTCACTTTGAACATTGTTACAGGTGCTAAAACATCCCAATTTAATTTAGAAACTGCTACAAGTTTTCTTGCACTTCCGGTTCCGTGTGTCCCAGGACGCGCGCGGCCGAGAGGCCCTGGGGACGAGGATGATCTCGGCCGGGAATTTTTACTCTGGTAGTCTGGAGCTGCTCTGTTTCTGACCCAAACTTTTCATGTACTGTTTACATCATATATTGAAATTTTACGACTTAGGATGGGTAATTAAGTTCGGATCCTGAACAGTAACACAAATACGTTTGTCAGTTTGGGTCGTCAAGTCAGTTAGTTTGCCTAAATTCGAATTTAGTCCGGCGACCGAAAAGGTGCCACGTACCATTCAGAAACGCTGCGACGTTGCTTCTTTGGAATTTGTTATTTCGGGCTGAAGAAGGGACGCTCATTAGAAAACTGACAAAATAAACTCAGAAACAACCTGGGCCCAGCTGACATGATGCTCCGCAGAAAATGGAAAGTCTGATTGAAATATGAAAAAGAATACCGGAGGATGTGGAGTTGTATAAAATGCATCTGTTCTTGTGATTCTTAGATCGTAAAACAAACAGCTGCACACATAATTACTGCATAAACTCATTTTTAAAGTGAATTAAGAGTAGCACATGCGCAATTGGCTACCTCCTACGCAGGCATACAGCCCGTAATGAGTATATGTCCGTTCGCAAGTTAAAATTTGAAATTTGAGACGAAGGCTTGCGTAGCCAATTGGTTTATGTCTGATGCATCCAAAGATAGAGACCATACATTCGCTGAACACTTCGCCGTGCCATTGGCTGATATCTACAACCAGTCGTTTAGATGCAAACCTTTTCCTGAAATATGGAAAATTTCCAATCTATGCAGGGTCCCGAAATCAAGTCCATGTTCGTCAGTGGAAGAACTAAGGCCAATTGCATTGACCAGCACTTTTTCAAAACTTCATGAATCATGTGCTGTTGAGTGGATCCTAAATGATACTAATGACAAAATTAGTGAATCTCAATTTGGTGGCTTTCCTGGAATGTCTCATGTCTGCTGTCCTTAATTGCATTAACTTTCCAACTACACAAGTGGTATCTAGCAATGTATAATAATAAGAAAATTTTCGAATTACATTCCTCGATTTCCGAAAAGCCTTTGACTTAATTGACCACAACCAACTGTTGCAAAACTTTAATGACATTGGTATACGTTCAGGCTTGATTGGATGGTTTGCATCGTATTTACGAGGACGATCACAGATATCTTCACATCATGGTGTAAAATCCGAGCGAATGGAAATTAATGAGGGTGTACCCCAGGGCAGCATATTAGGTCCAATCGCTTTCGTTATAAAAATCAATCAACTCCCATCAATTACAAATTGGGAATCGGCCGAAACAACCAACCAAAATTATACGGATGAGGGAGAAACAACAATGTTTATGGACGACACGACCTTATCTGAAGTGATAAAAGTATCAGATCACACCTCCGGGACATTGTTTGGAAAAACTCAAAAAAATGATATGGAGAAGCAACTACAAGCAGCTTGAAGTAAAATTCTGGATACCTTGGCGACATATCAAAAAGAAGGAAGTGGTTGGATCCTGGATGAAGTACTTCATTTAGACCTCAACTTGAGGAAATACACCCCACTACACGATTTAAAGTATCCTAAGGAGTTACATGATCTACATAATGACTATTCGTTGGCTCCTGTAAAGATGAAGATTTGTCCTGAAATGCTATCACACTATTGCAAACAGCCTCGGAAGATTTAAAATCTCAACGATAAGACAGAGCTCAACAATAAGAGCTAGTATATTGTACACTACCGTAATCTGAAGTTATATCTCGGGCTGGGAATGGAACTGACAGAAATTCACAAAGTCTTGGCGTTTCAACAAAGTCCATGGCTTAAAGCCTACATATATTTCAACACAGAAAGACGAAAGCACACCGCGAATGACTTTGAGAAAGATTTCTACCAGCTGATGAATAATGCGGTGTTTGGAAAGACTATAGAGAATCTGAGAAAGCGTGTCAATGTCAAGTTGGTCAATGATAAGACAAAGCTAACAAAACTAACTGCTCGTCCATCGTCCAGGGGTTATCCGCATATTTTCTGAGGATCTCACTGCTGTGAATATGAAGAGGACAAAGCTATACTTAAATCGTCCATTTTATGTGGGATTTACAAACCTCTCAAAGGTGTTGAACAACACTTTTGATCTCTCAAAGGTGTTGATGTACCAGTTTAATTACGAATATATGAAACAGAAGTACGTTGCTAACGCTATGATGCTTTTCACAGATACGGACAGTCCATGTTATGAAGTGAAGATCCGTGCATCTACCAAGACATGTTGAAAGACGCAGAGCTATTCGACACATCCAAATACAAACAAGACAATCCTCTTCACTCTATCAGAAACAAGAAAGTCCTCGGGAAAATGTAAGATGAAACACATGGTATTCCAATTCAAGAGTAATTGGTTTGAGGCCAAAGATGTACTCTATCCTATACACTGAAAACAACAAGCTGGTAGAAAAGAAGACAGCTAAAGGGATAAAGGAGTCGGTAACAAAGAAGAAGATAAAACATGACAATTATGAAACCTGCTTATTCGTTAAGAACCAGACAAAAGCGTCAATGAATCAGATTCGAAGTAAAGGTCATGAGATCTACTCCATCAAATTAAACAAGATTGCGTTAAGTCCATACGACGATAAACGTTTCATTTTAGAAGACTTTGTTAGCACATTAGTTCATGGACATTATAAAGTTAACATCTAAGTTGTGTAACAAATCTCACATATGGTGGGAATATAAGAATGGTGTTATATATTGTGCTCTAAGATAATCTAATAAAACTTTGTAATATGATGAATTCAAATACACTTTTTCACACTCTACTTCTATTGTCCGTTATGTTTTGGGGGGAGTTTGAATAAACTGAACTGTGGTGTTTAAAGTTCATGATGGTGAAGGGTGGTTATAGTTGGGTAGAAGGGGTCCCTGAGCCTGAGGATAGGGGACGTACTTAGAGAATTGGGCCATAAAAAGGCCTTCCGGGCAATTTTTAGCAACTGTTATAAAAAACCGTCATGGTTTATTCCCTCGCCTCAACGTTATGGTTAAACTTGAGTTGTTCTGTTTTCAACTGTTATTCGATTAACATGAAATACCACATTAATGAATAAAATACTAAACATATGGGAATAATGCTATAAGCGCGAGTACTAAAAGAGTTGTCGCGTTTCGGGACACCCGGGACAAGAAAAGTCGGAATACAATTATGGTCTATGCTCGTTTAAAAACACTATAAGCGTGTGTAATTGATATGAAAAGATATTCTGATGACGTAATGGGTGGAGCTTTAGTGCTCCACCTGCTCCACCCAGGCCAGAAACCTCACTTTGTATACTACTCATGTGCATAATTAAATTCCTAAAAAAATCCATTGTTGCGAACTCTATGTCAACCTCGTTCCCAGGCTCTTTGCTCTTAGACCCTGGTCGGGGCTGGTCACGTGACCCCGCAGATTCTGCGTGGTAAATTGAATTGATCTCAGGGAGGGGTGGTAGAGGAGTCTGTTTGTTGCGTTTGGAAAATTGCAATTTTATGTGTTATAGTTTCGGGTGATAAAAATGTAATTTGCAACAAGATATCGTGAAAGGAATAGTTTTAAATTCGTATTCATCATGACACAACTTCCTGCTATACTGAATGTCATCAATTATAAGTGTTGCGGTACATTTCAAGCAAGAAGCTGGATCATATTTCACTTCCAAGGACTCCACACGCGCCTGGCTTGCGAAGTTGAGCACGCATCGCCGTAGAAACATATATGTCTTCCCAATTCTATACCGACTGATCGATCAAACGATACTAAATGAACGATATGGTTGTTTATGGTTGAAGTGTATCCTGTCCGATATTCAACAAAGCCAAAGGGTTTATTTTATAATGGAAGATTTCCCAAACATCGGCACATCGCTAACTGTGTGTAAACAATAGTGCTATCTTGACTGTGAAAGCACAAGATTAAAACTCGTTATGGACTGTAAAATTCCTTTCATTTACATTGCTGAAACTCAACGATCAAGAATGATTAGTATGTCGAAGACTCGAAGTATAGCTATCTGTCATCAGAGTAGTGATCAGACGAACACCAAGACTCCACTGTACGTTTCCGTGCGTGCGGTACATATAACTTGAATATTTAGGACGATATATGCACCGGACACTGGTATTGTACTTCATAGTAAATTATTTCATATTTTGTGTATTCAAGTAATTTACAGCAGGTACATTAATTTATAAACCTTATAAAGACCTTTCATTCTATTGCACATTCAGGGCTTTATATTTGAAGTCTTTGAAGAATAACCCGACAGCTTCTTTCGACTTGTATAATGCTGCTGTGAGTCATCAATATTTAAATCAACTTTAAATAATCTTTATCGTATACTGTATAAATGACATTTTAGCAGTTTCACCAAACCATACTAGAGGCAAACAACCTATCTATTAATGGAAACTTTAAAAGGCTTATTAAATGTTAATTTGATAAGTAATTCTATGAGCTGGACTTCGTGCGCATATATACAGTTTATGAATTATGTATATCTATATCCCTGATAAAACGTAGGGACACTTTACACCATACCAGATATAATAAAAAATACTTTGCTAAACCTTTTCGGCTATCATTCCTTTGCATTCAAGGGGCGAGGGTGTTTGGCTATATAATTCATATCGGAGATTCTGTGCAATCTGATTTTGGCTTCAACAAACAGGTACTCGTGCAGACAAAAAAGGAAATGCATACAGTTGTGATTTGTCGTATAATTCTTTACTGTCGATCCCAAACAATTTTGTACATGTACGTTAACACTCCTTCCTGCCTGGTGTTGAATATAAACGATGATAACCTTTTTAAAAAAATCTAGAGCACTATGTCTATAAACCGTTTTAGAATCAATAGAATGGACATTCAATGTCTATTTGGCTAGTGTCCAAATATGTAACGTTTGCTGTAGGACCAGCAAGGCGCAGCGCCCACGACCTACACAGTCGCTTTTGAAACCTCTATTTAACAAAATTTATACTGTTTCCATATGACAACAATTCAATGGCACATTATAAGAATATTATACGGATTTGAACCAGAGCCAGATACAGAAACGTACGCGTGAAATGAAACTGCGCCCGAACCCCGAGACACTGAGACAATAAAAGGGCAAATATTTCCAAGCATATACGATCATACGTTTTCGTTGCTTGATTTTCTGACTTGTTTGTTGCTATAAGAATCTACAGTTTAGCATGTTTGTATAATTTAAAAGCAAACAGAAACCAATTTAGCAAGTATTTTGAAGTATATATGATTCTCATATAATAAGATGATTGTATAGCACGGTCACTCCTTGCAATCGAAGTGTGAGGTGCGGAAGTGGAAACATGTAATTTGATACTTTTCCATCCCCCTCTTAGGTTATCAATTTTCTATGGGTCACGTGACCAGCCCCGACCAGGGTCTTTGCTTCCCAAGAGCAAAGAGCCTGGGAACGAGGTTGACTCTATGTTTGTCAGTGAATTATTGGTTGCATAGCCAAAGCACGGTTGACAAACTGTTAAGAAATAATGCAAAAATGGTTTTGTTTTGATCCAATCGACACTGGCACTGCATAACAAGACAAAAATTAACAGATTAAAATTGATATTTGCTGTGTTGGTGTAATGTACTCAGGTGAATAAGATGCTTGTGATGTTACTCTGAGTGTATATCCACACCGGGCAGGTCCGAAAAATATGCATGGCCACGGTGGGAATCGAACCTACGACCTTTGGAACACTAGCCCAATGCTCTGCCAACTGAGCTACGCGGTCAGGTCGGTTCGAGTATGCGATATTTCGGAACTGAGTCTAGTTCCTTCGATATCAGTGTAATCTAATAATCATGATATTTGTTTATTTTCTTGATAACTTCACGATAATAACTGTGTGAAAAATGTTCTTTTAACACGCAGCCACGATTTGTTTGGCAAAAACCTTTCGTTCATTATACATTTATAAAAAGTTTTTAACGAATTGAGTCCAGAAATCATGTCTAATTTTATCTTCCATCCAAGGTATTTTTTTAAATTTTGTATTTGAGAATCTCTTTTTCGCATTCGGTCGGAGTAAAGTACATTTCGGGCTTGACAGCTAGAACTCCATTAAATTTAATATTTTCTTGTCTGCTTTAATATATAATGTCTGCTCTGGACAGAATATAACCGAATATTTTCCCGATAGTTTTGATGTTTGCGGCCGAGACAAAGTCGACGGAAACATTAAGGTTCGAGTGGAAACTGAAAACTAACTATTTTCCAAGGAACAGACTGAACGAAAAAACTGAAAAATTGTAAACGTTGTATTTTCGGCCCATGCAAGCGTTGTGTTTTCGACTACATACGGTCATCACAAATGGCTTCAAATATGGTTGCCAAAATATCGTTCCACCTCTGGTCAGCCAATCAGAAGGCTCCAGTTACGTCACGAATCCTGAGTTACACACAGGAAAGCATATTCTTGACAAACCTCACCCACGCGCATTATTTCGAAATTACACCAGCTGTGTCAGCTGAAATTACACCAGCTGTGGCAGCTGTCGTGGGGACTTCTTGCCAGTTAATAAGTTACCTAGCTCGATTTCACCTCAACTTTAATGACACTAGCTCTTGGTATCGACAAAGTATCGACTGAAATCTTAATGCACACATGATTGATTATTACAGAACAATCTTCAGATTCTTATGACAGAATATAAAAAGACGCTTAGCGAATTTGTACAATAATAACCACTTCTCGTTCATCCAAAACACCAGTTCGCCAAAACAGCGTGGGCATTGAGACAGATCTTTCTGCTCCGCCTCCGGATCTTTCGGATGAACTCAAAGACCATCCACATAACAGAGCAGATAATTTCTATTTCGCGTTCGTCAATTTGTCCGTTTCTGCTGTAGTAGACAATTGCGTTGCTTGAAGTTACAAAAATTGAAACGTCGGTGTCAATGCCAACGTCGCTAGAGTACTGGTTGTTCGGGGCACCCAAGTGTACAATGTGTCCCACGAGAAGTAGCAGGAAGTCTTTCCAGGAGATGAGAGTTGAGCTCCATCGAAAATAGTAAGATAGATTACCTCACTTTCCTCCGCTCCGACCCATGCTTGCATGCTTGTCAGAGGCCGGATGGACAAAAGCTTTGAACAAGAGACAAAGAGAATCGAATATGCTCTTCAAAACGGTTGTTTACTCGTACCTAGTTCCCCGTTATGCGTCTACTGAGTACTGAATCCAATTTTGTGCGAGTTTCGCACGAAAATTATATCACTAGGCTTGAAGCGGGGAAATGAAAATTTTGCTCGAGACTGGGTTAAGTTCAATTTTTGGCACAAATTTAATAGAAACTATTGAGACGAGCAGTTTATTGATCCACTCCTTCCTGGAACAAATGGCTCTTGCCCCCCCCCCCTCCCCCTCGTGCAATGTTGCTAAAGCGAATATCGAGGCAAGGGGTTATCTAATATAATATCATGATTGCGGGTATTCCCCCCGTTCTTGTAGGGCAATTAAAAACTAGTACACCTCATTATATTCATTTTTTCTAATCCTACCCGATTTTACGTCATGTGAGTTAGGATTAGTTCTAATCCTACCCGATACGACGTCAAAGCGGGTACGTTTAGAAAACTGAATATAAATGAAGATATCTGAAATCGCCAAAACTAAACAAAGA